ATTGCCATGGATCAAGGGGAGGAGGCTGCTCTCCTCTCACTCTCCTTTGAGGGGGTGGGCATGTGCATGTGTGGCTTGGGGACAGGGCTGGTTGCTCTGGCAGGTCTCTCCAGCCCTGATTGTGGGCCCAGAGTTGTCTGGTCTGGAACCGGCTAGTGGGGTCTTTGCACTTTCCATACAGGAAATAAATGGGAGAAATATCAAGTCTGTGACTCTCAGAGATTTCCAAATCAAGTTCATCGCTGAGCTTTGCGGCATAGAGAGCTCAATCTACTTGCTTAGTTTTGGCCCCCCAACAGCACTCTGATGGGTCTCCCCCAACCCTTCCGCGGGGCTCTCTTCCTCTCCATGCGACCTGTCTCATCATTCCACAGAGCGGGGGCCAGGCTGGGCGAGCCGAGGGGCCTCCAGCAATAACCCACCCCTGGCTGCAAGACCCCTTTTGCCTGTCTGTTAAATCCTTGAGGGTGGGCTCCTCCCCCAGCGTGGGGCTACCCTTGGGCTCAGACTCTTTTGTGATGCTTCCATAGGCCCATTGTCCTGGGGCCACCAGGCCAGTGGTGTTCCTCTCTTGGTGCTGCCGCTCCCCAGGGGCGCTGCCAGGACACAGGAGATGGACCCCGCTGCCCTCGGACCCACTGACCTCCCTCGCCTCTCCTCCCTTTGCCTGCTCCTCCTTCCTACCCTCTAACTGGGGGGAGAAGAACTTGCCCCCTTCTAGCTAGTCCTGTGCCCTTCTTCCCTTTTACTCGCTCAGCAAACCCTCTGAGTTCCCCTAAGAAGGACCTTCGGGGGAAAAGAGGTCCTTGCCCAAGTGGGGTCCCCGGGGGTGGAGTGGAAGTGCCCAGGGCAGAGACAAGCGTGGCCGGGATAACAGGCCTGGTCACTGGAGCTGGAGTTGGGAAGAAGCTGTTCCTGCTGAAAGTGAGGGGAGGACCAGCCTGTGGCCGCTGCCACAAGGCCATGTGGAAATTCAGGGCTAGGGAGAAGGCAGGGTGGGGTGGGGAGAGCTGAGCCTGGATGCTGTTCTCAGAGGGTCGGAGGGTCGGGGAAGCCTCGCTGAGGACCACTCCCAGGGAGAGAGAGCGTGACTCTCTGGAGGGAGGGCAGAGGGTCAGGCCACAGCTCAGAGACAAGGGTCTGAGGCAGAAGGGGAGCAGGCACGGAGGCTGGGATGGTTTATAAATAGCTGATGGGGACCAGCTGGCTCACACGTCCACTGCAGACCAGCGCGACAGTCGCTGGGAAAGGAAAGTAAGCCTGGGAAGCAGTCAACAGTGTGTAGCCACCGAGCCCTGCTCATAATAGGCGCTCAAATGAAAGAATGGGGTGTACTAGTTTCCTGCCATAACCAAGTGCCACAGACTGGGGGGCTTAAACGCAGAAACGAATTCTCTCCCTGTTCTGGAGGCTGGAAGTTCAAGATCAATGTTATCAAGGTTGGTGTCTTCTGAGGCCTTTCTCTTTCGCTTGATGAGGACCATCTTCCAAGCTGTGTGTCTTCACAGCGTCTTCCTCTGGGCATCTGTGTCCTGATCTCCTCTTCTTATGAGGACACCAGTCATATCAGATTAGGGCCCACCCCAAGGACCTCATTTAACCTTAATTATCTCCGTAAAGACCCTATCTCCAAATACAGTCGCACAAACCAGGGGGTTAGGACTTCAATGTATGAATTTTGCAGGAACATAATTCAGCCCCTAAGTGGGAGCATCTACATGTAGTTGGGGAGACAAAACACATCAACTGAAGCAATGGACAAGGTGGCGCGCAGTTCATTGTTAAATCGTGCACTGTAGATGGACAAGAAAATAAGACCGTATGCAGGAAGTGACTATACATGGGGATGTTGAATAAAATACAGTAAAATAACCTTTTGAGGGGCGCCTGTGTGGGTCAGACGTTGAGCGTCTGCCTTCAGCTCAGGTCATGATCTCAGGGTCCTGGGATCGAGCCCCGCGTCGGGCTCCCTGCTCGGCCGGAAGCCTGCTTCTCCCTCTGCCTCTGCCCCTGCTTGTGTTCTCTCTCTCTCTGTGTCTCTCTCTGTCAAATAAATAAAATCTTAAAAAAAAAAAATAACCTTTTGAATACTTAACCAGGTTTAAATTAAGAAAGGGAAACTCCCTGGTGCCAGGAATGCAGAGGAAACATAACACAAATGAAGTTAGGGGTGGAAATGGCTCATGGAGTTTTGGAGACAGATGTTGGCCCTCACGGCATGGGCAGGGGTTCTGAAGTTACAGAGCCAAGAAATTATCAGAACCAGTGAATCTCAGGGGCTTGGGAGGCGCATGCAAAGCTGTAGGTTTGCTTCTGTGACTTAGGATTAAGGGGCTCCTGCCGAAAGTAATCCCATGAAGTTGAGGTCACAAAGGGTCAAGTCCAAGGAAAGCAGAAGAGGGTAAAAATAGCCCTTGTCAGTCGCCTGTCCCTCTTTTACTTTTTATTTTTAAAGATTTTATTTATTTATTTGAGAGTGAGCAAGAGAGAGAGCACAAGCAGGGGAGAGGAATAGAGGGAGAGGGAGAAGCAGACTTCCTGCTGAACAAGGAGCCAGACACAGGACTCGATCCCAGGACCCCGGGATCATGACCCGAGCTGAAGGCAGATGCTTAACTGACTGAGCCACCCAGGCACCCCGCCTGTCCCTCTTTTAAAGAATTTCCTCAAAAGTCCCACTCAACAGCTTCTACTCAATGGCAGCCCCTCTTTGGGAAACATAGTCTTTTACTGGAAGCATGCTGTTTACGTAAATGGTCACTTGGGAGAGCAGAGTAGGATCTGTCAGTGATGAAAGAGGGAGAGAGGAGATTGGGTGTCAGGCGGGCAGCTTACGGTCTCTACCACAGGCCCTCACCAAAATCCCCTCAACCTCTTGTAGTCCTGGCTCCTCCTAGCAGGACGATTGTCTGCTTAAATTTTAAGGCGATACATGTACATAGTGAAAAAAAAACTAGCAGTCCAGCCGATACCATAGGATTAAAAAAATGTCTCCTTCTCACCCCTCCTCCTCATTCCCTCAGCCCAGAAATCATCTGGATTTTCAGTGTGTAGACCAGACCATATCATTTCCTTACTGAAAATCCCCCTGTGGATCTCAGTCTGCTCTCAGGCCCTGCCCTCCCTCAGCTCATGCCACTCTCCTCCTGGCTCATAGTGTTGGTTCTCTGGCTTTGGATTGGTCCCTAGAGATGCTGCCCTGTGGCCTTTCCCCTCATTGTTCTCTCTCCCTGGAACACTCTTCAGGGCTTGGTTCAATTCTGCCTTATTCAGCGACAAGATTCTCTTTTTAGGCTCAACCTTGTAACCCCGTGCAGTATCCAAGTCCTCCACCCTCCAGGCACAGTTCCAAACTCCTGGATGGCTAGATGCCAGGGCTCTACTATGGATCACCAAGGGATATGATGAGTCAGCCCAGGGCACTGTGGGAAGGTAGGGAGGGACCCTGACCTAAACATGGATGAGCTTAGGAGCTGAGGAATCACTCATTCACTCAATATGTATCAGGCACTACCTCCTATGACCTGGTACTGAGAAGATACAAGAGAATGAGATGGGCACAATCTCCTGGAACTTCCAGGCCAGAGTGAGGACATAGGCAATAAACATGAAAACAAACAAATAAGGTCATTCCAAACTGTGGTAAGTTCTATGAAGGGCATAAACAGGGGATGTAGCAGATGGGTTTGGGGGTAGAGGGGGGCATGTCAGAATGTGTGGTCAGGGAAGCCATCTCAGAGCCCTGAAGAATGAGAAGGTGCCAAGCGAAGAAAGCAAATGGCACGTGCAAAGGGCCTGAGGTGGCAGAGAGTGGGCTGGCAGAACAAAGGGAAGGAGAAGGTGAGCAGAAGTGGGCAAGGCTGGGCTACAGGCTGAACTAAGCTTGGGTTTATTCTAAAATAAATAGGAAGATTTTCATCAGGGCCGTGGTGTCACCTGGTCTGAGTTATGTGGGAGCTGGCTATGGGACCTGGATTTTGTGAATCCTTTGAGTGGTTTCTATAATTTTCCATTTGTAGTACTGTCTTGGGTTAGCTTTATGGGAGTTACTTTCAGTTCTCTAGCCAATTTGGTTAAACCAACAGCAGGATGCATTTTATGGGTGCAGAGCTGCAGGGTTTCAGCAAATCCCCCACCTGCTTCCCTGTGACCTTGGCATTGTCTCCCCCAGGAGAGACACTTGTGCCCCTAAAAGTTGGAGTCTGTCCCACAACTCAGCCCCTCTCAGGCCTACCTTCCTCGGAGGGTAAATGTATCAGTCATGGCTCTCCAGAAAAACAAAACCAATAGGTGATATATACGTATATCACATATATATATGTATTTTTTTAAAGATTTTACCTATTTATTTGAGAGAGAGAGCGAGCAGGGGGAGGGGCAGAGGGCGAGGGAGAGGCAGAGAATCTCAAGCATGCTCTGCACTGAGCATGGAGCCTGATGTGGGGCTCCATCTCACAACCCTGAGATCAAGACCTGAGCCGAAATCAAGAGTCAGACGTTTAACTGACTGAGCCAACCAGGCTCCCCATCTTATTTATTCTTTTATTTTTTAAGGAATTGCCTTATGTGATTGTGAGGGCTGGCAAGTCTGAGATCTACAGGGCAGGCTAAAAACTCAGGTGGGAGTGAATGCTGCCAAACTTCTCAGGGAAGCCCCAGCTTTTGCTACTACTTCCTTTAACTGATTGGTCAAGGCCCACCCTCATTATGGAGGGTAATAAAGTCAACTCCTTGGAGATATTAACCACATGTACAAATGCCTTCATGGCAACATTTATATTAGTGTTTGAATAAATAACTGGGTACTATAGCCTGGCCAATCTGACACATTAAACTAAGCATCACAGTAAAATACATAAAAAAATGAAATCAAAGTTCTTATTCTAGGCCCAACTCATGAAATCTCTGAGCCAGTCAGAGCTCTTTTGTTCTCTTGCTTTGGGCAACCCTGTGTGTGAGTGCCGGAAGCATTAACATCTGCAACTGTCTTTTGCTTACAGGTGATGGCATTTGACTGAGGCGGAGCTGGCCTAAATTGGGGAAAGAAGAAGATTCCGGGCACCCATTTCCCAGTCTGGGCCTGGAAGCTGGTGTCTTCCCTCTGCAGTCTGACGGTCAGCCTGGACCTGGGCCTCACCATGCAGGAGGCACCTTCCCACACTGATCCCTTTGCCCGGGGGGCCGCCCGGGGTGTTCCTGGTTCTTTAATTTCAAGTCTTAGCTGTGGAATCTGTTTTCCTCCCCCCAATCAGATACCTCTGGGTCACCACTGAAGGAAGACCCTTCCCACGCAGCCCTTCGTAGCCTCTTGCTTCTCTGTTTTTGGTGGTTTGTGTGGCCAGATGACACCCAGCCACAGGGACAGGCAAAATGAGCCAAAGGGGAAATGAACATGTCCCACAAAGCCTGACTCCAGGGTAAAGGGCTGGGTTAACTGTCCCAGGCCTGTGTGTGTGTGTGTGTGTGAATCATACCAGGCTCATGTCAGGCGCGCTGTGGAGGGGATGGAGGCCAGCTCTGTGACTGTTCTGGACTTTGGTTCAAGCCTTCACCCTGGACAGTCCACCAGTGGGCCCAGTCCTCCCACCTGGATTGTCCATGGACGAGTGCAGAATCGGCCCCATGACCTCTGACCCAAAGAACACGATTGCTTTAGTTTGGGTTCCTTCAAAAGCAAACCTTGAGGAAAGAACTGGGTGAAGTAGTTTATTTGAGATGTGATCCCAGGGTGGAGAAATGAGATCAAGAAGAAAGGAAAGAAAATACAGTGCATATTAACGGGCATGTCACGGCCGTGGGAAACAGGTTCAGTCCTACAGGGGATGTTCTGAGAGACTGTGTGGAACATGCCTCAGAGTTGTCCCACCAATGGGAAGGAAGCTGTGGTGCATTCGTTATCAGTTTTTTGTTTTTGTTTTTAAAGTAGGCTCCACGCCAAACATGGGGTTTGAACTCATGACCCTGAGATCAAAGTCGCACACTCTACTGACTGAGCCAGCCAGGCGCCCGTTCATCATCAGCTTTTTAAACAGTTTTACTAAAATGTAATTCACATACACAATTCATCCATTAAAAGTAGACAATTCATATACGTGTAGCCATCATCATAGTCAATTTTAGAAGATTTTTGTAATCTTAAAAAGAAATTTCCATTTGTAGTACTGTCTTGGGATAGCTTTATGGGAGTTACTTTCAGTTCTCTAGCCAATTTGGTTAAACCAACAGCAGGATGCATTTTATGGGTGCAGAGCTGCAGGGTTTCAGCAAATCCCCCACCTGCTTCCCTGTGACCTTGGCATTGTCTCCCCCAGGAGAGACACTTGTGCCCCTAAAAGTTGGAGTCTGTCCCACAACTCAGCCCCTCTCAGGCCTACCTTCCTTGGAGGGTAAATGTATCAGTCATGGCTCTCCAGATTTCTTAGCTATCACCCCTATCCCCCACCTCAGCCTAGGCAACCAGTAACCTATTCTCTGTCTCAAGCAGGAAAGAATATCCAGTGGAAAAAAGACAGTCTCTTCAACAAATGGTGTTGGGAAAATTGAACAGACACATGCAGAAGAATGAAACTGGACCATTTCCTTACACCACACACAAAAATAGACTCAAAATGGATGAAAGACCTAAATGTGAGACAGGAATCCATCAAAATCCTCAAAGAGAACACAGGCAGCAACCTCTTCTACCTCAGCCATAGCAACTTCTTCCTAGAAACATCGCCAAAGGCAAGGGAAACAAAAACAAAAATGAACTATTGAGACTTCATCAAGATAAAAAGCTTTTGCACAGCAAAGGAACCAGATGACAAAACCAAAAGACAACCGACAGGATGGGAGAAGATATTTGCAAATGCCTTATCAGATAAAGGGCTAGTATCTAAAATCTATAAAGAACTTACCACACTCAACATCCAAAGAACAAATAATCTAATCAAGAAATGGGGAGAGGACATGAACAGACATTTCTGCAAAGAAGACATCCAAATGACCAACAGACACATGAAAAAACGCTCAACATCACTTGGCATCAGGGAAATCCAAATCAAAACCTCAATGAGATACCACCTCACATCAGTCAGAATGGCTAAAATTAACAAGTCAGGAAACGATAAATGTTGGCAAGGATGCAGAGAAAGGGGAGCCCTCCTACACTGTTGGTGGGAATGCAAGCTGGTGCAGCCACTCTGGAAACAAAATGGAGGTTCCTCAAAAAGTTAAAAAAAAAAAAAAAAAGAGCTACTCTACGACCCAGCAATTGCACTATTGGGTATTTACCCCAAACAAACAAATGTAATGATCCGAAGGGGCACATGCACCCCAATGTTCATAGCAGCAATGGTCACAATAGCCAAAATATGGAAAGAGCCTAGATGTCCATTGACAGATGAATGGATAAAGAAGATGTGATGTATATATACAATGGAATATTACTCAGCCATCCAAAAGAATGAAATCTTGCCATTTGCAACAACATGGATGGAACTAGAGGGTATTATGCTAAGCAAAATAAGTCAACCAGAGAAAGACAATTATCATATGATCTCACTGCTATGTGGAATTTAAGAAACAAGGCCAAAAGTCATAGGAGAAGAGAGAAAAAAGTGAAACAAGATGAAACCAGAGAGGGAGACAAACCATAAGAGACTCTTAATCATAGGAAACAAACTGAGGGCTGTTGGAGGAGAGGTGGTTGGAGGGATGGGGTCACTGGGTGATGGACATTGGGGAGGGTATGTGTTGTAATGAGCACTGAGTATTATATAAGACTGATGAATCATAGGGTGCCTGGGTGGCTCAGTTGGTTAAGCGACTGCCTTCGGCTCAGGTCATGATCCTGGAGTCCCGGGATCGAGTCCCGCATCGGGCTCCCTGCTCGGCGGGGAGTCTGCTTTTCCCTCTGACCCTCCCTCCTCTCATGTGCTTGCTCTCTCTCATTCTCTCTCTCTCAAATAAATAAATAAAATCTTTAAAAAAAAAAAGACTGATGAATCATAGACCTGTACCCCTAAAACAAATAATACATTATATGTTAATTAATTGAATTTCAATTAAAAATATTTAAAAAAGAAAAAATATACTATATATATACTATAAATATGTATACTTACATATACATGAGAAAAATATATATACTATATATACTATCTATATAAAAAAGAAAAATAGATACACTATATATATAGTATACATATATATATTTATATATAACCCCTATTCTCTGTCTCTACAGATTTGCCTATTCTGGACATTTCATATGATGGAATCATAGAATATGTGGATTTTTGTGACTGACGTCCTTCACTTTCCAAGGCCAGTTCAAGCTACAGCATATATCTCTACTTCATTCCCTTTTATGGCCAAATGATATTCCATTGTATGAATATATCACATTTTGTTTCTCCATTTGTCTATTGATGGACATGTAGATTATTTCTGCCTTTTGACTATCATGAGTATTGCTGCTGTAAACATTCATGTCCAAGTTTTTCTGCGGACAAATGTGTTTTCATTTCTCTTGGATATATACTTGGGGTGGAATTGCTGGGTTATATGGTAACGCTATATTTATTTATTTATTTATTAAAGATTTTATTTATTTATTTGACAGAGAGATAGCGAGAGCAGGAACACAGCAGGGGGAGCGGGAGAGGGAGAAGCAGGGTTCCCGCTGAGCAGGGAGCCCGATGTGGGGCTCGATCCCAGGACCCTGGGATCATGACCTGAGCCAAAGGCAGACACTTAAAAGACTGAGCCACCCAGGCGCCCCTATTTATTTATTTATTTAAAGATTTTATTCATTTATTTGAGGGAGAGAGAGAATGCGCAAGTGCACACATGAATGGGGAGAGGGGCAGAGGGAGAGGGAGAGGCAGAGAATCCCAAGCAGACTCCACGCCAAGCATGGAGCTTGAGGCAAGGCTTCATCCCACCACCCTGAGATCATGAGCTGAGCTGAAATCAAGAGTCAGATGCTCAACCGACTGAGCCACCAGTAACTCTATATTTAATCTTTTGAGGAACCACCAAACTGTTTTCCAAAGTGGCTACACCATTTTCCATTCCTACCAGGAATATATGTGAATATGAGTTAGCTATTATTGTAGAACAGCTCACTCCAAAATTTAGCAGCTTAAAACAATAAACATTTGTTATATCACACTGTTTTTGAGGGTCAGGAATCCAGGAGGAGCTCAACTGGGTGGTTCTGGCTCAAGGTTCTGCTCAGGGTCCCTCATGAAGCTGGAATCATCTGAAGGTTTGACTGGGCTTGAGGATCCACTTCCAACCTGGCTCACATGCCTGACAAGGGAGCATTGGTTGTTGGCAGGAGTCCTCAGCTTTTTGCCACATGCACCTTCCCCTGGGTGCTTGAGCATCCTCATAACATGGCAGCTGGCTTCCACCAAGAACAAAAGATCCAAAAGGGAATAAGGCAGGAGCTGCAATTCTTTTATGATCTAGCCTTGGATATTATATGTTGTCATTTCTGTAACATTCTATTGCATAGTTCAGCCATTTCCTTTCTCTCTCTCTCTCTTTCTTTTCTTTCTTCCTTCCTTCCCCCCTTCCTTTTCTTTTTCTTTCTTTCTTTCTTTCTTTCTTTCTTTCTTTCTTTCTTTCTTTCTTTCTTTCTTTCTTTCTTTCTTTCTTTCTTTCTTTCTTTCTAGAGCACGATTGCGAGTGGAAGGGGGGAGAGGCAGAGGGAGAGGGGAGAGAGAGAATCCCAAGCAGGCTCCAGGAGTCCAGCAGAGTCCCAGTGTGGGGCTCAATCTCATGACCCTGAGATCATGACCTGAGCCCAAATCAAGAGTCAAACACTTAACTGACTGAGCCATCCAGGTGTCCCTGCTCAGCCATTTTCAGTGGGGGAGGAACTACACAGAGTGTGAGTACCAAGAAACAGGGGTCATCGGAGGCCATCTTGGAAGATGCCTACTACATAAGGCATTTATCCACCCACTCCCATCTCTCAGTAAGAGGGTTGCTCCTGAGGTGTTAAGTCCCTGGAACTTTTGGCTTAACCCAGAACACGCTGAAGACACTATCATGCTGAAGACCACCCTCCCTTTGGCCTAACTCTATTTCAGCTGCGGCTAGGGAAAAAGGGTCCCAACTCAAGTGCATGCCTTGCACCCTCTGCTTTCTGCCCCAGGACCTTCTCTGACACACAAGAGCCTTCTGGATCCTTGTACAAACACAGCTGGAAAATGCAGGGATGCTAAGAGCCCTGGGAGGAAGCCAATTAGCAACTGATTATCTGGTCCTTCAGGCAGATGGGTCTGGGAGGCAGACAAGACACTGATATTAGGAGCTAAGGCAAAGAGTCTACTTTCAGGAGCTAAGATAAAGAAAATTGAGCTTGTCTCCAATTTTTCATTATTACAGAAAGACTGGGACTAGTATCCTTTTATACATATCTCTGTATTTGAGCTACTATTCTTCTTCTCTTTTTTTTTCTTTTCATATCAAATTTAATCAGTACAGACCAACACGGTCAATATCAGATAATTCTTAATATGAGCAAATGGGGAAAAAGAAAAAAGTATACGTACATGGATAAACAGGGGAACTAGACGCATTTTAGCAAGGCATGTCAGGTGGTAGTTCTGGATGAAACTCGCATTGCAGTTTTCATTTCCACAGCTGTGTGCTGAGAGCCTGACCGGATGAGCTTCCAGACCATCCTGCTGTTGTGTTGGGTAGTTGGCCAAAACCCACTGTAAGGTTTGTACTGCTGATACTCATGCCAACCATTTGCTGATTCATCTGCAAGAGGTTCCGCTGGGCCTGTGGAGCTCGTGGCAGGCCAAACTTACTCTGGGGAGCACCCATCTGCCCCACCATTCCTCCTTAGGGGCCAACCACATTTGGTGGCATTATACATAAGCCCGCTGGGCACGTGTATGCCCACCCTCATGCTTGCACCCTGTCCCATTACATTTCCCAGGAGGCCGGGAGCTGCAAGCTCATGCACGGGCACACCCACAGATGGAAAGCCGTGAGGTGCAGTTGGTGCTTGTGAGGTCAATGGTGTATTTGTGGGTCCCACAAACACACCAGGAGTCCTCTGCTGCTGAATGTTTCCTGTGCCATACGGAGATAAGATGGAGTCTTTGGAGAGTTTGTTTCTTTGGTACCTCTTCTGATTTTGTAGCTTGCTCAGTGAACAGATCCAGATCCAGGGGCGCCTGAGTGGTTCAATCTGTTAGACGTCCGACTTGTGATTTTGGCTCAGGTCACAGTCTCAGGGTTGTGGGATTGAGCCTCGTGTCAGGGCTCTGCGCTCAGTGGGGAATCTGCTTGAGATTCTCTCTCTCTCCCTCTGCCCTTCCCCCGCCCAAAATAAATAAATAGATCTTTAAAAAAAAAAAAAATCATTGGTCCAAAGATGTCCAGATCATCATTCAGGGCTGGCGCCATGGTTGTGTTCCCATTGGTCACTGGGGCCTCAGCAGGGCCATCAAGTCCTAAAAGATCAACAGCGGGCTCTGCAGCTTTTTTAGGGCTGGTAGTTTTGTTTAAGCTCCAACTGCTGATCTTCTTTCTTCTGCAGCTTTTCAGTTGTAAGAGGTTTTGCAGGCTTTCTGGTTCCTTTTCTTTCTTTCTTTTTTTTTTTTTAAAAAAAGATTTTATTTATTTATTTGACAGAGAGAGACACAGCGAGAGAGGGAACACAAGCAGGGGGAGTGGGAGAGGGAGAAGCAGGCTCCCCACAGAGCAGGGAGCCCGATGCGGGACTCCATCCCAGGACCCTGGGATCATGACCTGAGCCGAAGGCAGTCACTTAACCAACTGAGCCACCCAGGCGCCCTTTCTGGTTCCTTTTCTTTTTCTCTTCCTTTCCCCCCCACTTTTCTTTATTTGTGATAGCTATTGGATTTTTATCTTCTTTTCATATTTATATCTTTTCTTTAAAGATTTTATTTTATTTTTAAAGATTTTATTTATTTATCTTAGAGAGAGAGAGAAAGAGAGAGAGCGTGCAAGCGGGGGCGGGGGGGCAGAGGGAGAGAGAGAATCTCAAGCAGACTCTATGCTGAGCATGGAGCCCGCTGTGGGGCTCCATCTCCTGACCCTGAGATTATGACCTGAGCCAAAATCAAGAGTTAGATGCTTAACCAAGTGAGTCACCCATATGCCCCTAAAGATTTTATTTTTAAGTAATCTCTACAACCAAGGTGGGGCTCAAACTCACAACCCCAAGATCAAGAGTTGCACGCTCCACCCACTGAGCTAGATGGGTGCTCCTCATGTTTATCTCTCATGAAAATTTCACTGCTTGATCTGTCTGTGATCTTCAAAAGTTCTCTGGAAGATTGGCTTCATAGAGTAGTCTTGCTTTCGTATTTCCCATAAACACACCAATATTCCAGGAAGCCCATTGTGGACCTTTGGCCTTGCAATTCGAGTAATACCTGTCCTCCTCCCTCAGCAACTGGAATAGGACGAGCTGTTGCTGCTCGTTCAGCTGCTGAGCCTTCTCCTGGCAGGAGCACATCACCATCTTGGTAGTGGGGCGGGGAGCCTGGGCCAGCTATGGGGGCAGTGGAGGCAGGCAGGAGCTGGGCAGGGTGAATACATCTGAAGCCATCAGGCCCATGGGCGGACTCTGAGCTACTATTCTTTTCCATAAATTTTTAGAGGTAGAGTTGCAGGGCCAAAGAGATATGCTTCTATATTTTCTCCAGTAATGTTATAATTCTCATCCATGGTTAAGGGAGCCTGTTCCCCTCCATCTGAGAGGCTGGGTGCAGTGAGGAGGGTGTCCTGCATGCCTCCGGATAAAGGTGGGGAGAAGCAGGGACCACTTAGTCCTTAGAGAGGACCACCCTTAGAGAGGATGAGGAAGGGTCTGCAAAGGCGGGTGGTGGCAACATGGAAGATGGGTTACACACTCAGGGGGTCGACTTTACAAATAAATATGCTGAAAATAGCAAAAGGAGGAGGGTCTCACCAGACTGGGCCTGATCCTAATGATGGCTTGAAGCTTGAAGGAGTTCTCACTGGCCAAATCTCAGACAATTTCGGGCGCCTGGGTGGCTCAGTTGGTTGGGCGACTGCCTTCGGCTCAGGTCATGATCCTGGAGTCCCGGGATCGAGTCCCGCATCGGGCTCCCTGCTCGGCAGGGAGTCTGTTTCTCCCTCTGACCCTCCCCCCTCTCATGTGCTCTCTCTCATTCTCTCTCTCAAATAAATAAATAAATAAATAAAATCTTAAAAAAAAAATCTCAGACAATTTCAACATCATACATAATGATAATGGAATATTATCCATTGGATTAAAAAAGAAATACCAAGTCCACACAGATATAAATTGTGAGAGGAGAAAATGTTTCCTTACAATACAATGCCAGCTAGTCAATGAAAGAATGATAGAATTAGAATCACTATTTGGCAATCCTTAGAGCAATAAGTAATTTATCCAAGAATCATAAATGGACACTAAAATTAGTGAGTAAGAGTTTGATAAGAAATGGGATATTTACATAACCTCTAAGTGCCTCCTCACAAAATACATATTAATCCCAAAAGGAAAGATAGTAATCACTAAATTCTACTCCTGAAACCAATATTACACTATACATTAACTAACTAGGATTCAAATAAAACTTTGGCAGGGGAGAAAAGGAAA